AGACAAAAATACATAAATAAATTTAAAAAAATTAATAATAATAATTTTCACATGAGAGTACTATCTTTCTAACATTTGTTTTATTGGTTCCCAAATTTTTTCAAATTTCCCTAGTCCCAGTCATAGTCTTGCATTAATTTGTTTCATTTTGTAGACCTGTCTAACTCTGTCTCTCCACTGTGCCACCCTTGGGGGTTCTGTGTCTAGCCATAAAACTGTAATACACTTCTTGGCAGTCATAAGCAGAATTCTGATTACGTATGTCTCCATTATGTGTGTATGATTTTTGGTACAGCATTCCCAGTACAAACCATTTTAGCTTAAATTGTAATTTCACCTTCAAGGTTCTTTCAATTTTTCCCTAACACCTTCCCAGAATGGTATGAATTTAGGGCAGTCCAAAAGTATATGTGAAAAGTCTCCCACTAGCCCGCATTTTCTCCAACATAAATTTGAAACATTACTATTTAGACATGATAAGTGGAGTTTTAAAGCATGCATCTTCATCTTCCATTCAAATTCCCTCCAAGACGGACTATTAGTTAATGGCCTGCTTCAAGTGTTTCCTCCCATTCCTCATCTGTTATCATTATGTTCACTTCCAGTTCCCATTTTTCTTTAATATCTATATTCTTAACAATCAAATCCTGTTGTAAAGCTTTATATGTTTTGAAATCAGTCCTTTTTGACATGTCCTTTCTGTTTAACATAATCACTTCCTCCATATTAAGTTTATCCTTGCTTGAAACTTTTCCTTATTTTGAAATAACTACTCTGTCTGTCTGTCCTAAATAACATATTAAGCATGAAATTACGAATTATTGTGAAATTACACGCACAGGAAGTGCTTTTATTTTGTAGCATTTGCTCAGTCAGCTCTCGAAGGCGAAGCTTCTCAGCAGACGGAGAAGAAGAGCGAGGGTCGGAGGTGCATTAACCATCGGAGGTGCATTAACCGTCGGAGGTTGCGCTTCTGTTCTGCATCTGCACTTGACAGTCACTGGTTCTGCACCACTGAGCTAAATGTAAGTAGCCGCCATAAAAGTTGCTTAAATGTTGTAAATGTTTTTAAGACGGACATGGTGAGTAATGTTGGCCACGTAGCAAGCTAATATGCTAAGTCATTGCATGAGTTAGCTGTGTTAACTTTGTGTGCGACTAAAGTCCGTTTATTAAATTAAATGAGCATCGCTATCTCATTATTAAAGGTTAGCATTATTTTAGATACTTTTTTATTAGACTTCTAGAGACTTATTCCCTCCATTTTTGTCCCCTCCATCGTAATTTTTTAAACGTGACGTTCTGAGAAAAAAAAAGCTGGAGCTCAGCGCCACCAAGTCCAACTTAAACGTCCACTTATTAAAAGTAAATGAGCAGTGGTCTCTTGTACAGTGATGAAAAAATCAGTCTGTGTTGTAAACTATTTCCCCATAGCACCCGTGCGATAGCTTTGCAAGCAGCCTGGTTTTTTAACCGTAGAAGAGGATTGTGACTGCAAGAGACGAAGCGGTGCTGTATCTCATGCTATGTTCCCTCCTTCCCTCAATTTTTGTCCCCTCCATAGTTTTTTAAAAGGTGATGTTCTGAGGACAAAAAAAAAACGGTAAGTTCAGTTAGCTCGCGGGAGTTTGCCAGTTTTTGTGAAAAGTTTTATTTAATACACGCATAGACATACAAATTTTGTTAATGTTTTTATCATCAAATTAAATAGTGCTCAGTTGCACATATCTTGAACCGCAGAACGCTGTTTCTATTAATTTCACAGTATTTTAGTGTTGTAATTTTGTCCTTACTGTACACTGTTACTCCAGATTCTTTTCTTTAAATGTTATGTTTTTAGGTTTGTGTGGATAAGTCAAATTACACTTGAATTTCCTCACACACACACACACACACACATACACACATATATATATATATAATTTAGATGATTTAGCTTCATATATAGTGGAGGACTGCCTAAATTTTGCAGACTAACACAGATCTACCTTGTGATTCACAATGTTTGTTTTCTCTACTGATTATGCTTCCTGGTGTAGATGTGCATTCCTATGAGCTGTCAGCCACACCGGGAAGCCTGTCTATGAATCTGCAGTCAGACTTCAATGATCCAACCCCACTCTCTGCACACAAGATTGATGGCATGCTGCTGTTGACCCCCAAGAGGTTCATACAAGTGAGACCACTGGTGAGTAATTCTCACAATCTGCATTTTTGATGGCGCATCCTAAATAACATGCATATATATGTATGTATGTATATAAGTTTACAGATTAGGGCTGTCGCGGTTGAGGAATTCCCCCTGCGGTGAGTCAGGGCAGCTCAATATTGCGGTATGCGATATTATTGCACCCCGTTTTTATTTATGTACTTAGCAAATTTGTTTGTTGATTACTAAACTCATGTCAATATTTCCTTTGAAACATTGTGCTTACATATTTAAAAAATGTTAGAAAAAATACATGGCCATTTTTAACACTTTACTGAATGCAGATCGAAGGGCAGTTACGGCATTTTCTGACTGAACTTAAAAACAACATTCAGGAGGTTTAACTTTGAAATGCAAATTTGGCTGCAACATATAACAGAAATAAAAAAGTGCCCGTTTTGTTTTGTAGTTTAAAATAAAGTATACAAAATGAGATGTCCTAGGCACTGTCATTTCACTTTCACACACAAGAATAACATAACTCGGTCATGTCCTTGTTATACGCAAGGAAAACCAGCATGTTAACCTTATGCGGTTTGAGAGAGGATCTGAGAGGGGTGACAACATTTCCAGCGACACTAAAAACCCTCTCGGATGGTGCGCTTGTTGCGCAAATACACATGTACTTACGTGCGACTTTGGAGAGCAATAGAAATCTCCCATGTTTGTTGCGCCACCATGTCAGGGTTTTCATTAGGGTCAATGGGTTCCTCCTGCAGGTAGCGAGTGAGCTCCAGCTCGGCTCTAACTCTCTTCGGGACGGTTACAGATGACGTGCTTGTCCGTGACTTCAGCAGGTCTCCAAGCGTTTTTTTCTTTGCCGCTGGTGGCAGCACTGCCTGCTCCAAGGTCTCTGGCTGGGCTGCAGCTGACGCACTGACACCGCTCCCTCCATCTTCCATGTGTACTATCTCCTCGATCAGCACGGACTTTACCTCTCAGCATGCACTGTCGCGAGATTTAATCAAGTGCGGTAATGGCGGTGGCACGTCCTGCAGCGCGGTGGGTTTCTTAATATCGCGATATTTTCTTCTTGCGGTTACCGCGACAGCCCTAATACAGATTTGTCTTTTAAAACTGGTGAATATACAATTTACAGGTAATGCCTTTATGCTATGAGTATTAGAGCCACTGATGGAAAAAAAATGTAGAATTCTGAGAAAATAAGTCATAAATCTGAGTTTAATCTCAGAGTTCTGACTGGTACCTAAAACAAAAAAAAAGGGAAATTGGGGAAGTTTATGAGGGGGGATCAGAATTCTGACTTAAATCTTAAAATTCAGGCTTTTTTTTTTGTTCGTTTGTTTTGATTTTTTTTAACAAAAAAAATTCCTAAATAGTTTTTTGTTTGTTTGGTTTTAGGTTCATGAAAAAAGTCAGAATTCTGACTTTAATCCCAGAATTTTGAAATTATCTGACTTTTTTTCTCAATTCTTTTCTTTTTCTTCAGTTACTCTAATACTCTTAGGCAATAAGGCAGTATTAGGGCCACTGAAGGAAACAATTGAATACTGAGATAAATGTCAGAATTCTGACTTTATTTATTTTCAGAATTTTTCTTCTTCAGTGGCCCTAATACCCCTCCGTATTATGTAATGTTAAACAATTCAAATTAACTTTTGAATTCAGCAGTTTATCATTGGATTTAGATGCAGATATCACTGTCTTGGAAAATTGGTCAGAGCAGTTTGGCATTGAGTTTGATTAGTAAACTTGACAGTATTTACACTCTTAATAATCTTCTTAGGAATTACATGATGTCCACACAAGGCGTACCACTGTTCTCCATGCCCTTCCTGTCTATCTACGTGAGGAAACCTCTGGGTTTTTGAGGACATGTGTGGTAAGTCCCAGTATTGTAAATTTGAACAAATCATTCTATTTATTTATGCATAAAGACACCACAAGGACAACGCACATGAACATTTTGGAAAATGTGCCATTGTTTCAACTACAAACCTTTGGCAAGATGTTTAAGCCTGCCACACACGAGAGCAATCAGCTGAGCAAACGGCCTCGAAGGACTGTTTGCTCAGCAGATTGCTCGCCATGTGCGCCTGATTTTCACGGAGTTTTCTGCCTCACGAGATGCTGAGGTGAATATCTGACCAGTTGGATATTTTGCGCCTCACAGGGGTAAAAACTCACCATGTGTGCACTACTGAGCTGCTGGCTGAGCTGAAATATTCTAGTGGCCAATCAAAGCACTTTCTCCGCTCACATTTGAGTTCACGCAGAAAATCTTACTTGGTCTTGATGAGTCTAAACTATCACCCACGCTGCAGAGTCAAAAATGACCTGATGTTACATGTGTAACTCAAAATCTGAAAGAGTGGTGGATTCAGATGGCTCACTCTGTTAGAGCATTGTCCACATCCACAATGTAATTTACTATTTGTCTGCTCTTTAATTGTTGATGTTAAAGTAACACACCACCATTTGGGCAAATATGTTCATTTTCCACTTCTTGAGTTAACCCTCCCACTGTCCTAATGGGTAGGACCCCGCGAGGAAAGTTGACCATTGAGCAGGGTTGATGGTTCATCCCTTGGGTCCACGTGACAGGGGTGAGGACTGAGCACCACCTCACCCCTGCCACGTGGACCTCAAGGGATAAACCATCAACCCTGCCCAATGGTCAACTTTCCTCGCGGGGTCACCCATAATGACAGTGGGAGGAACAGTTGAGTTTTACCTTTTCTCTGTTCGTCCAGCCGTTCTGAGTCTGGCAACTCTCATTTGTGGCTTTAGTTTAGCGTGAATAATTGAATCGGATTAGCCCATAGGCTAATCATGTCACCAGTACCAGAGGGAAGGCATTAGCATGCCTGTCATAGTTCTGCTTGCTTCGATCTGCAGCTCTACCCCAGTTGCGCCTCGCCAGCTTATAGGCAAAGGAAAGTTTCTGCTGGTGGTCCTTAACCCACCCTTGGAGCTCGCATGATGGTAGTTTTCGGCTTACACCCAGACTTAGGTCGACCGGTTGTCTTAAATGCCTGCCGAACATCAAAAAAGAGGGAGCATAACCAGTAGAGCTATGAACAGTGTTATTGTAGGCGGCCAACAGTTCCGGGAGATATTCGGGCCACCTACGTTGCCTCTCTGCCTCAAGCGAGCGCAACATATTCAACAGAGTCTGGTTCATTCTCTCTACAGCGCCATTGCCAGCTGGGTGATAGGATGTCGTCCTGCTTTTACTAACCCCATACAACTGACAAAGCTGCTGGACAAGGGAGGACTCGAAGTTAGCACCCTGATCCGAATGGAACCTGGCAGGGCATCCAAAAACCCGGATTACATTGAGCCACATGGTACGAGCTGTTGTCTCTTCGGAGTTTGAGCCCATGCTGCACCAGCCTCTGAAAAACCTCGTCCAAATGCTGCAGGTGAGAGGAGAAATCAGCTGAATAGATTATCACATCATCCAAATACACCAGCAGACACTCAGCTAGGTGGCCACTCAAGCACTGTTGCATTAGGCGCTGGAAAGTAGCGGGTGCATTGCAAAGGCCAAACGGCATCCGCTCGAACTCAAAGAGCCCCATCGGTGTGGTAAAAGCCGTTTTCTCTCTGTCTCTGGGGTCCATGGTGACCTGCCAATAGCCACTGGCTAGGTCTAACGTGGAAAACCACTCAGCCCTGGTCAGATTGGTCAACGTCTCTTCGATACGGGGGAGCGGAAATGCATCTTTATGAGTGACAGAATTAAGCTTGCGATAGTCCACACAAAATCTCCAACTGCCATCTTTCTTTTTGACCAGGACTATCGGTGCCGCCCAGGGACTACAGCTCTCACGAACCACACCCTTCTCTAGCATGTCCGTGAGTAGCAACTTGATCTCCTGGTACATTGAAGGTGGTAATGGTCTGTACCTCTCCTTGATGGGTGGAGCATCTCCGGTGTGAATACGATGCTGGACCAAGTCCGTTTGGCCAAAATCCTCTTCATCATCCGCAAAAGCCTTCTTCCACTTATGCAGGAGAGCTTGAAGCCTATCCTGCTGTTGGGAGGTCAAATTCTGGCCACTACTGGCCTGTCCCACCCCTTCCGTAGGCTCCTCCGAGTCCAAATGGTGCACATCTACCACGCCCACCTCCACGATGCCGTCCGGACACATAGTCAAGCTGAGATCACGTGGCCCCTGGACGTCAGTCTCCTCCACCTGATATAGTCGGCCCAGCTTCTGGTTCCGTCCTATGGTGACTGGGTAAGTGTGGGGGTTACAAAGACGAACCGGGACTCTTCCCCCTTGCACCACAGATAGGGTTCTAGCTACCCCCCAGGCTTCTGCAACTGGCGTAGCCTCCACTAGGGCAATGTAGTTTGGTTTGCGTGTTCTTCCCCCATCGCGTCCCCAAACAATCGTCTCGCTTCTGGGCGGTACTTTAATGGCCTGCCGTTCTACAGGCCAAATATAGCCTAGGAACCCATCCCCGGAGGTTACAGCGGTTGGTTAACATTCTGCCAAAGCCTCTTGACATGCTTGCTGGGGTTCCTGTCGGGGGGACAAAGAGAGGTTTCCGTTTTTAAAAACCACATCCCAACAGGCCCCAATGACGTTCATGCCTATCAGCAGTGGGTGGGTGGAGCAATCGTCCTTAAAGAGCAAGTAGGAGGTGTCCTACAAGAAACTTACTTCACTCCCTCTTCATGTTTGAAAAATGCAACAAATGCTGTTGCCTGGCAGACCGAGAGGGCGGAGCTGCTAACAAATACACACACACACAGGCTCACAACGGCATTGTGACATCATAATGTACCCGTTTACATCATAGCATACCTCTTAGCCAATAGCGGTGGCAGATTTAAATTCAAATACAGTGCAGAGTTTTTACCTGACAACGGCACAACACTGCCAGTTTTAGGCAGAAAATTAAAATTTTAACTAAGATGCACTGAAGTACCAAATTATTGACTACACGTGTCTGCAGTACGATTAGACACACATTTATTTAGTTTATCAGGGGAAAAAGTTGATTTGGGGGTGACTTGCTCTTTAACAATGACAACACCCTTCTCTGGAATATGTACACCCTGAATCTCAGAATCCATAATGGCATAACCTGAATATGGAATGTCAAGACCATTGGCAGCTTTCAGCTTTAGCACCAAAGGGGCCGTCCCTTGTTCAACCTGTGAGAAGTGTTGTTCCATGACTTGCTGTTGCATTAACGTCACTTGTGAGCCGGTGTCTAGCAATCCTGTCATTGTTACTCCTCCTACACAAACTTCAATTGTTGGACATTTCCCAACAAACTGCGTGGTGGCCCCCTGGTGGCCAGCCTACTGGGCTGTCCCTACTGCTTGGGCCTCAGCAGCAGGGGGAGCTAGTTTAAAGCTGGTGTATGTGGGACGCTGGCAGCTTGGCAAGACCTCGCCAAGTGACCCACCTGCCTACACTGTCTGCATATCAGCCTTCCATCCTGTGTCCACTCATCTCTCTGGGCACGAACCCGTGGTCTTGTCATGGATCCATGATGTCTGGGAGTGTAATTTCGTTCAGGGGGGGCGTAGGAGAGGTTTAATTTCACTCATCATTTCTGGGGCAAGCCCCTTCATTTGGTCTTTCACCTCATTCAAGATCTCCTGTTTTAGAGTCTCTTTCCAGTTCAAAGTAGGCGTTAAGTGTTGTCGAGACTCACCAAATGTAGCACTGCACATGGCATCCATACCCCTTTGGCCGTGCTGCTCGTCTTCCAGGAGTACAGCCTCACTGTGTAGGGCAGCAAAGTCCAGTTCCGGATTCCGCCGTGCATACGTTCGAAGGGTTTGAGCCAAAGGTCCTTCACTAAGCCCCAAGAGCATCTGGTCTTTCAACGCACCCTCGGAGGGTGCATCATCAGGGTCGTGTCACAGCAGCCTGCAGTGCAACTCCCTAAGACGAAGGGCAAAAGACTTCAAACGTTCATCTGGTTTTTGAATACAGCTAAAAAAATGGGACCGGACCACTGCAATTGGAGTATTATCACCATACAAGGAATCGAGGAAAGCAAAGATCTTTACACTCTTATCCCGCCCTCCAGGGTCTAAAACACTGATTTGTTGTTTAGCTTCCCCAGCTAAAGCTCCAATTAGGAGTCCGACTTTCCTCAATTCAGTCAGGTCCTGTGCATGCAATAAACCCAACATTTGTTCTTTCCAATCCCCATACTTAATGTCACCGTTCATCCCACTGAACTTGGGCAACCAAGGTGCACCGGGGTATACTGGCATCATCATCATTCTAAAACACAGCCTAAAACACAATTTGCTTCTGCTATTACACTGCTCGAGCTCGGATCCTGCCAACAACGCCAAAATTGATGTGACACGTATCAGGTGGTATGGATGGCTTGTGCCACTATTATTAACAGATTAAAATAGATTCTAAAACCAAGGCAAGCAGTGCAACCACAGAAGCAAATTTTTAAAAAAGGGAATTTATTCTAAAAGCTCAGATGATGATGCCCAAAGGACAAGGCAGTCCAGTCCGTCCCTGCATGCACTCGCCAGGTGAACCCTCTACGACCCCGCCCTCCTGCGGTGCACGTCGTCCGCGGGGATCCACAGGCTGGACAGCCGGTGGATTCAATCCTCCTCGGTCCCTGTGGCACACAAAAACCTCCGGCAGTCAAAGGCCCCACAGCAACTCCAACCACTGCCAGGCACTGCTCAAATACTTACTCGCAGGGGCAGAGTAACTCTGCCCGCCTGCCGTGTTGCGCTCCGTGCCTAGCCCTCCGGCCGCGGATCCCTCTTTCTCCGCCGCTGCTACGGTCGTGCGCGCGCCACACAGGTGTGGAGGGCTGCTGCTTCTTCTGCCGCTGATGCTGTTGTCCGTGCCTGATGGATCTCCTCCCCTGCTTACGGGGCTTGCGGCGTCCGTCTGGCTCCGGCGAGTGTTTTTCCTTTCCCCTCACCGTCCTCCCGTCTCCACATCCGCTCGCCTCACTGCTGCTTAACCCTCTGCTCTGCCACTGTTTATTCTCTGCCAGTCCACACCCCGCTCTCAGGTGTGGGCAATTGGGGATGATTAACACAGAATGGGCTGCACGTTGCAGCAATCTTTTAAAACACCCCAACAGTTAAAAATCAACCTAAAAACACCACATCAAGTAAAAAACATGCAATATAAAACATAACGGAACAACATTTCCACTCTGTGACATTTACACTAGCCGACAGCATGGATGCCCTCAGAGCTGCATTCGCTTTATCAATTGTCCAAGCGCTTTTTGCTTGTTTGTTTTTGCAAGCGGAATAACTGCTCCTTGCAGAAGACCACAGACGAAGGATGAGGTTAAGAACGGCTATTGCCCGGCACCTGGCTTCTCCAAGTACTGCCGCCTACAGGTCTGGCATGTCCTTAACAACGTATTTATCCGGGTACGTGTGGACAGAGTTTATTTTTTTAAGCGAGGTGGTGTGGATGCAAGTTTTTGGAGAGGCGAACATTCGTTTTAAAAAAAACCCGGCTACATGTGGACTAGGCCTTAATCCTATCTGAGAATATCTGCAATCCTGAATCTCTCTCTTTCTCTAGCTCCATAAGGTTCTTCTTCCGACACTCGCAGAATACAGACGCTTCTGCTTTTGCTCCCTTATCTTTTTTTCCCAAGGCTCTTTGTCCTGTCTGCCCACAGAGCGCTTCTCTGCATTTCTTCTGAAAAACCCTATTTTTAATCATGGATTTAATTAATTGGTCATTCAACGCGATTGACAAGATTTTTTCTACGATGAGAATGAAGGAGGGGGCTCCCACTTGATGTTCGTGCTTATATGTTTGAGGCGTTTTTTTTTTTGTTTTTTTTTTGCATAGTAAAGCTACGCCCTGCCGGGAGTAACTCTGGTATGCCTTTTTTCCCTCCCCCAATTTATCCTCATGTGATCCCCTTTTCATCTAATTAACGGTAGCGCGACTCTTGTTGAGAATGACCACAGTACCAATTCTTCTGTACTGAAACAATTGCCCCTCGGGGATGATTAAAGTTTCTTTGAATTTTAATTTGAATCTCTCTATTTAGGTAGATGCATTTTGGTCTTCTCTTCCAGTAATTCTCCCTTTGTCTTTTGATGTCATCTCCTACAGCTCAGCATTGCAGCAGCATCTGATGGCTGTTTCTATGCAGATTAAATGCTGTAATCCCAAAATGAACAGATGCAGTTCACGTGTCTGTGCTTGTCAAGTCTTGCCTTAACTTGTGTAGAATCCCCGCTTGAAAGGGATGGCAGAGTCTTTGCAGTTTTATATGACCGGACTTTACTCAAGGACCACACAATTATTCCTTGTCGTCTTCATTTTATTTTGTTGTTTTGTAGAAGGTTTAGGATTGTGGTTGGTCTTGTGCAGGTAAAAACCAGCTGCCTTCCTGCTGCTTGAATCAAGGCTCTGCCAGCTCCACACAGGCTTGCCACATAAGCAAAAAGTGCTTCACATGGGCCAAGGTTTGGTACCTGTGATTGTCTGATTACTAAAACTGGGCGTCGGCTGGTGCATCACCTTTTATAGTCCTGATCCTACCACTGCCAAACACAGTTCCACCATAATTGTTTCCAACTAATTTACATTTAAGCAAACATTACTTTCCCATTTATCTTATTTTATTAGACTTTAAAAGCATACATATATAATTTTTTTTTTTTTTTTAACAAAACACCTCCCACTCGACATTCCCATGTGACATCATTGGGAAGGTCGCGAATTCCATAGTCAATATCCACATAGAACTTTTCCCACATTCATCAGATTTGTCTTTGCTCTTCTTTGGGTAGCAGAACAATAAGTCTTCTGACGTCCCTTCGGAGAATAGTAAAATTTGGTACCTCCTTTATTTCTGAATGTCTTGGACGTTGTTTTGGTTCTCTTAATCCTTTCGCCATCGAAACACTGCAACTGGGGACAACTTTAATTTCCACATCCCTCACGATGCCTTTGCGATCAGGGTTTGTAGCCACAACTTTTCCCAGAATGAATTGGCCTCTGATAGCATTCTGATCACACACCCAGACGATGTCGCCGACAGAGACATTTCTTGTTTCTGTGTGCCACTTTTGTCTTACAAACAAATTGGGACCAGCAAGTTGCCTCCAGTTCTTCCAGAACTTTGTAACTTCAGTTTCCATCTCTCTTAACCTCTTGTAAGGGTAGCTGGAAAAATCAAAGTTCTTTAAATCACCACCCTGGGATGCTCGTCCAAGCAGAAGGCTATTGGGAGTAACATACTGGATACATCCCTCTCTGCTTTGCTCTCTTGCGGCTATCGGTCGCTCGTTTGCAAGGTTAGCAGCCATGTAGAGGGTAGTGTGAAACTCACTATAGCTGAGCATGGTCCCTTTGGCAAGATTTCTGAGGGCTCTCTTCATGATTCCGACAGCCGCCTCAGCACTTCCATTTCTGTGCGGCGAGTCGGCTGGGAGCACAGTCCATGTCCATTCTGTTCCATTTCTTGCAGCGCTTTCCTCAAGAGTTACTTTATTCTGGGTGTTAAGGTAATTGTAGAGATCCTTCAAAACAGGTTTAGCCCCAACAAAGTTTGTACCAGGGTCTGACCAGATTTTCTTTGGGTGGCCCCGAATTGCTGTGAACCTTAGGTAGGCCATCAAAAAACTTTCTGTAGATAGAGTATTAGCTATTTCAGTATGAATGGCTCTACTTGCCATACAACAAAAAATGATTCCCCAAACTTTGAGTGTAACTCTCTTCTTGACTTCATCTCTTACATGATATGGCCCAAAGAGGTCTGTTGAGACGTACTCAAAGGGGGCTGAAGGCTTAGTCCTCTCTGATGGTAGGTCTCCCATTACTTGCTGACACTTTTGAGCTCTTGCTTTTCTGCAGATCAAACAGCAATCAACAACTTTTTTAGCAATTCTTCCTCCCTTTATAACCCAAGCCTTTTGTCTCATTTTTAACAGAGTTCCAGCTATGCCATCATGAGATACTTCATGGGCTTCCCGGGCTAACAGAGTTGATACCCAGGAACTGTAGGGGATTATTGGAACGGCAATATTGTCTTCTCTGAAAATTTGCACTCTTCCTCCACAGAGAAGCAATCCAGACTCTTTATCCCGATAGACAACCAGTCGGTCCAGTGTTGCTGTTGGAAAGGAAATTCCTTCCTGGACCGTGAATAGGATGTCTTTCAAGGCACTTTCTCGCTCTCGTACAGAAATGACTCCATTAAGATGGATCTCCTCCCACTTTGGTTTCTTTAGAGTTTTGTTATGCC